CTCCGGACAAGTAGATCCCTAAGATTTCTGTTCCGTTTAAGACTAATGGTCGGTTGTTGACGAAAAATAGTTGGTAGGTTTTTATCGGAGCTTAGAATGCCCCAATACTTATTCATGGATCGTTGTATTTGTGAAGTACCTGTATGAAAGGGGAGAGGTAGATACATTCTAGCTGTTTTTTGTGTTTGTTGTAACGGACTTGCAGAGTCACGTGTCATTTTTTCTAAGGCTTTATCTTTTGCTTTAAGTAGCATATGTGAATGAATCTGTCAGCCATCTTTTGAAGTTGTTTCTCCCGATTCACTGGGTCACTATTATAGGACCGCATATACTGGGATAAAGGTAATGATTCCTTCAACTTCTGTGGGAGATAACTATTAAACTGGAGTAGAGTATTCCTCGAGGTGTCTTTCCGATAAAGGGTATATCCCAACTTTACTTTGTCTTTATAGATGGAAACATCAAGGAATTGAATTTCATTTTCATATTTCACGTTGAAAGTGAGTGTCAATTTTACTGGGAGCAAAGATGAATTGAGGTCATTAATCATTTGTTCAAGACTACTACTAGTCCCAGTCCAAATCAAAAAAATTTCATCAACAAAACGATGGTATGTGAGTATACGCTCATGATGCCTTTCCAAAATATATTGGGTCTCAAATAAAAACATGTATGCGTTGGCATATGAAGGTGCCATCGCTGCACCCATTGAAGTGCCCATCAATTGAAGATAAAAATAATCTTCAAACTTAAAGTAGTTACAAGTGAGAGCTACATGTAAAAGATCCATAAGGAACTCAATGGGTGGACCACAATATTTAGATGAACCACTAAGGATTTGACGTAATGATTGTATGCCATCCATATGCGGTATGATGGTATATAATTTCTCTCGTCCAATGTGACCAATAAAAAATGTTCTTCTACAGATGTTCATTCCTTTATGTTATCCAAAAATCACTTGTGTCGCGTAGACATGTGGGAAGGTCCTTAACTGAAGTTTTGATATGATAATCAATATATTTAGCGATAGGTTCCAAAAGACTGTCATGAGCCGAAACAATCGGCCTTCCTGGTGGATTTTTCATATCCTTATGGACCTTAGGTAGCGTATATAAAACAGGATGTTTTGGGTGTTCCACATATAAGTATTTAGCCAAATTTGTATCAACAAAACCCATCTGGACACCAGTGGCAATGATGTTCTGAATCCTGTTTTGAAACTTCTTAACACAGTCAAATCTTAATCTCTGATATGTATTCGTATCGGACAATTGATTTAATATCTCTTCTTTGTATTTAACATAGGACATAACCGCAATCGCACCTCCCTTATCCGCCGGGCGAATAATAATACTTGGGTTTGTCATAAGATCTCTTCTCGGCCACTGATAAATTTTGTCGATGATCTGTTGGATTTTTAAAAAAAAATTCAGATTCAGTTTTGACAGATTGCATAAAGGTTTTAATAGAGATATTAGAGGTCTTCAGGTCTCCTTTAAATTTTAATTTCAAAGGATTTTTGGTTTCCGATATGGTAGGTATCACTGTGGAACTATCCTTCAAACGTTCGTAATTGATCAATGTACGTTGTACTTTATGTAATTCAATATCTATCTGAAGAGGAACGGGTTTGGACACAGGAACAAATGTTAGCCCTTTCGATAATATAGAGAGGTGGTGTTCTGTTAAGAACTTCTGGGATAAATTAAAGATTAGGGTCATCTCCTCCCCAGAGGAGGTTTTCCCTTTAGCCCGGTACTTCTGGTGTCTCTTCTTTCCTTTCCTGGTGATTGTGTTCTTTTTCCGCCTCTTGTATGGGCACGTGTAATACCTGGAGATTCGTGAAGACGAACGTCCGTCTCTAAAAAAGGACGTTTGTCATGTAAAGTTCTCTCTTCTTTATTCTCCGCATCAGAGGCGGACTCACCCGAACTGGTGTCTATGGTTTGGGGGTGATAGATGCAAACTCATACTTCAATGAGAAATGTATTGGATACATCGATTGGATACAGTTACCCCCAAAGGATTGAATGAATATATATCATTTTCCATGTTCCTTTGAACATTAAGAGATTGACCCTACTTTATTGGAACTGATGTGGGTGGATTCAGATCCGATTTTTTGACTAGTGGATACTATTTAATTTTTTACTTTTTATTTTTAATTTTTTATTTCCAATTTTTTATTTGTAACATAGTTTTCTTTTTTTCATTATTTATTCATTTTTTATTATGTCTATATATTTATTTTTATAATTTTTCTTATTTTGGATAGTTATTAGTGTTTTACATTGTAGTTAGACATATATTAGTTATTATTTTTTAATTATTTTTAAATATTCTTTCTGAATATTGTTGAATATTTGTCTGGTAACGAGAGGATTGAATTACTCTTGTTGTTATTCTTAAATGTTAGTATTCCAGTTTTTTTATTTTTTTATTTTTTTTATTGTTTTACAAGGGTTTCTATCCTTGTATTAATCCCTAGATGGATTTCCAAATGTATCCCATATGTCATATGTCCCGTGGAACTAGGTCTTACAGCATTTTTACATATATGTCCCTGTTTGGTTGTTTTCAGCGAGTGTCAGTATTTTGATGATTTAT